AGGTCCCTCACTTGCACTTCCTAAGATCACATGTTCATCGTGGCACTGTTTACAATAGCAAAGACCTGGAACCAACCCAAATGCCCATCAATGATAGACTGGGCAAAGAAAATGTGGCACATATACACCATGGAATACTGTGCAGCTATAAAAAATGATGAGTTTGTGTCCTTTGTAGGGACATGGATGAACCTGGAAACCATCACTCTCAGCAAACTGACACAAGAACAGAAAACCAAACACGTCATGTTCTCACTCATAGGCGGGTGCTAAACAATGAGAACATGTGGACACAGGGAGGGGAGCATCACACACTGGGGTCCATTGTGGGGGTTAGGGGAGGGATAGTGGGAGGGAGGGTGGGGAGGGATAACGTGGGGAGAAATGTCAGGTATAGGTGATGGGGGGATGGAGGCAGCAAACCACCTTGCCATGAATGTACCTATGCAACAATCTGCAAGATCTGCACATGTACCCCAGAACCCAAAGTATAATAAAAAAATAATAGAACCTGCTTGAAGTTTTGTCTGGCTGTGAGGAAAGTTAAGGCTATTGTGGGCTCGTGGTCATACGCAATAGATGAATGCAGTATGATTTGTCTTAAACATGATGATAAGACATCATCTCAAATTTTATACAGAATCAATATATAATTAACATCAATCCATCAGTCTTGGCTCCTAATAATAAAACAAAAATGTGTTTTGTTAAGTTTTGTTTTATTAATAGCATCAACCAACTAGTGAGACCATAGGGAACAACCAGGTCACAATTTAGATAGGATCAGAAGAAAGTAGAACGAGAAATCCACCCTTCAGAACTCATGTCAGGGAATTTGCTTCTCTGGAGAAAGCCACCAAAAGTCTGAGGTGCACGTTTGGGAGCCCCAGGGACTCCAGGAAGAAACATTGTTTTTTAAAGCTTCTCAAAAGTGGGGACCCCGATTAACCACTGAGGTTGTCTGGAAACCCAAAAGACTGCTTCCTGAAAGAAAGGACAAAACAGAATTAAGCTTGTCATAACACGTACTTTAGTGTAGAAACTCCAATCCTTAAAGCAGTGTCAACATGCTCACTTCGGGTGCACACGTTCTAAAATTGCAAAAACACAGATAAGATTAGCATGGTCTCCGTCCAAGGATGACATGTAAATTTGTGACACATTTCCTATTTTTAAAAAATTTATCGAGGTATTAATACCTTAAAATTGTATTATTAGTAGTTCTGAGACTAAGAATTCGCCCAGGCACCTGATCAAAGAACTATTTCTCTAGGGAAAGATAAAATCAGCTGAGGAGTCAGCAATATTATAGGTTTAAACCATGCTCAAGTAATATTTTACCCCTTAAAACATAATTGAAATAAATCATCACCAAACAGAAGAGCAAAAATATGAAGTCATAAGCACTTCAAGACTCAAATAATTGAAATAAATTATCACTAAACAGAAGAGCAATGGTATGAAGTCATAAGCATTTCAAGGCTCGAACTCTTCGAGTCTGGAAGGAACAGGTATAGCACAAATCAGCACATGTAGGTGACAACCAAATAATCACAAAGGAAGAGGTAATGTTATGGTATCTAAATTGAATAAAGTATTATATTTTGCCATATTTCATTTGTCTCATAAGATATATTCTTTATAGGTTGCAAATATTAATTGTTTTTAAAAAATCAACATACTTGCAAGTTTAACAGGACTTGATTCAGGATGGTTTTATAGTCTTATTTAGAGTACAAATAAGAAGAAAGCTTTTACAATTACGTTAGGAAGTGATGAGGTGGAATAGAACTGACCCTATAGAAGCTGAGTGTGAAATACCTCCAGATTCATCCAGTACACCATGGTAATACAGCTAAGAGAGAGGACAGTTTGGATGATTTGATGATCTGTTAAAGACAGATTCCATTACATAACAATATATCCTGGAGGAGTCTAAGATGAGGACAGTGCACCTGGGATTAGTGACCCAAAATCGCTCCTAGTGTGGACATGTCACTGCTCCGATTGTGATTTTTAGGTGGCAGACATTATATGAAATATAATATGAAAACATGGGTTATATAATGCTTAATATTGGTAATCAGGGAAATGCCAGCAAACATAGAACAGGATAACATTTTACATTAGCCAGTTTGACAACAATTTAAAATTCCAATCGCACATGTCAAAGAAGTTATAGAACAAAGGAGACTCTTTACATGACTTGTAGGTAATGAGACGGGGAAGCAGGCATAGAAGTCACTGCCTCACAGTCAATGAAGTTACTTAATTACCTAGTGAGTAATGTGTGCTGTAAGTTTCACAATCATTACATCACCCAAAAAGTGTTTTTATGTTGTTTTTTTGAGATGGAGTCTTTGC